AAATAACGCTGCCGCCGAAATAATCGATTTATTCAAGCTCTTTGAATTCTTAATTTACGTTTTATATCTCATAACTCGCCATGGTCAGAATCCTGATTTAAAATTTACTCAACTTATTAACGAAATTTCACTCACATACATTGAAATAAATCAAACATCATAAAAAAAGTTACTGATTTATTAATTGGATTTATTAACATCGCATTAATTTAATCAAGGTTACGGATTGAATAGCAATTGCAACACTGCATTTTTCTAATGCTCAAGTTTACTTTTTTAAAGGCGTGTAAGTTGTTAGTATTGTTAGTATAATCGAGCAATATAAATTACGTGAAAATTATGTCAATAGTGCTAATTTACTAGCAAAACTTAAACTTTATCAGCCCAACAATTCCCTTATGTTCATAAACGCGAGATCGTAGTGAAATTTAGCTACGACTATAGTAAAGTCGATAACAAACAACAACACAGGAAAATAAGTTCTCCGCCAAAGTACGTGGGATAGAGTCCCGTACGGATAACGCGGACAGCGTACACAAGCCAGAAGTATTTAGTACGAGCTTATAATATCGTGAAAACGAAAACCGAAGGCAGGCAGCCTTGCAGCATTCGAATGATAATTGCGCCTGGATTTCTTATCTGCCTTCTTTACTTTTCGGCTCCCGACTTAAGTGTACCAAAAAGAGAAAGAGAAATTATTTAATCAGTACGTGGTATACAAATTAAGATAACAGTAAAATTACACAAATATTATCGCTGACTAAATTTGTTACGTACTTCTTTCTTATAACTAGGAAACTAATTTGTCGTTTGGCTTCATTATAGACAGATATTAAAATTAATTCATACTATGATTTTAATTACAGTGCTGAATATTCGATATGTCACGAGACCATTTTTATTAAAAAATGAAATTATTATCATGTTATAATGTAAGGCGAGTTCCACGATTTTATAACTGCCATTGTGATATGTTCATTGACCACTAGGCTATTAGTCATGACGTCTCGCTATAAACGTCGAGTATAACAAAGATAAAAATATTCCACACCTGTTAAGTCACTCATAACACGAGTGTATATCGTGTATATGTCGTGCATTTTGTGCGCGCGCATATATGTGTTGTGTTATATCAGAAGTTACGTGGTACATCCTATTGGATTACAGAAAGTGAGTCTCAATTCTATTATAAGAGAAGGGAGAAAGTGTCGCATCTGTATATCCGGCTGTAATAAAACCCGACACAAAACGAATAAAAAGTTATTTACTTACTGCTACTCTGACTCAAGAGAATTAAAAACGTGTGCGTAATTCAAAGTGTCATATCTTTTGTGCGTGTTTAGATACAAAACAAGCTGCATCTAGGAGAAAAGAGAAAAAGCAGCAGCAGTTTTCAAAACACTAATGTATAGAGACTGGAGTCAAACGACACAGAACAACTGCCATCTCAGTCTAGCGGAGCCTTGAAAAAATCTTCCGACGAAAACCATACCAAACTCCTTAATCTCTGTTCCTCGATAAAGTGGCCGAGAGGCGAAGCGCAGTTTCCTGCGCGAACCGAACAGTGAAAAACAAGAAGTGCGGTCGACGGCGGGCAAGAGCAAGACGCGGAGGGGTGGGAGTCGGAAAAAAGGACGGCGATAAGTAAGAGTGCAGTTTGGAAAAGGATATAGAAGGAAAATATATGATAATACGCTTTAGGGTGGCTGGCTGCCTGTCTCTGCGGGGGTTGGGAGAGAAAGATAGGGGTTCGAGATCGCTCGCTGGGGGTTGGGCGTGGTGCCTAACGCTACCTAACCCCCCTAACCCTCCCACCTCCTGTTCCTCGTTCTTCTATCGCCCTCTCCGGCTCCCTCGCCACTCGATCTCCACCGACCAACCGCTCGCACCCACGGTGGTCGATACCTCGGAGCCGCGTGCCCGACAAGCGTCGCGACGCCGGAATTCCGCGCCTGTCATGGCCGCCGCTGCGTACGTACGTGTGTGCTCGCGCGCCCTCAGCTCATCCCGGGATTCCCAATTTGGATCACTATGACGTCGGTGAGTAGCAATCTCTGCTAATTTTTGTCGCGACGGAACTGCAGTTTCGTTGGATACGCTATTTCCAACACCCCTCACGAACGTACTGCTTGAACCCCGATAGACATTATACGCCCTGCGAAAAAAGGAATTAGCCAGGTCTTATATCGCGACAAGACATACTTGGGGAACGTTAATGCTCCTGTTGGCGTTTGAGGACTATCTCATTTGGAAGCGTCTCTATTAAAGGAGACGTTTCCTATTGCTCCTGCTACGATGAATTTCGTGACCCTTGTCTTTAAATCCGGCGTCGATTCGATAACATCGAGCTCCATTCATCCATTTGGGGAATATCGACGATAACAAATGAGTTAGCATCAGTTAGCATCAGCTACAACGGTTAGGACACATTCACCGATATACGCTTTTGGGTTAATGAAAAAGGACAGTTTCTTATTGGGGAGAGATGCTTGAGCAACGCGCTTCAGCACAAGCGAGACACTATCCTCGTGAAACCGAAGAGCCTAACCGATTTACAAGTGCCATCGAGTCGTCGCTTCAACAGTCCCCGGAAGATCCTGAAGAGGGATAGGTTGAGCAGGGCCTGTCGAAGCATACAGAGAAGTAGAGAAGCAAAGCAGAAGGAGGAGTCAAGTTGTTTATTTGATGGCGCCATAAAAGGCCTCTTTATGTTTATCTCCCATTTAAAACGCTCGCATAAAACCAGTGACTGCACACACAAACCATCAGCCAAACATAAATCATTCCGTGAAACGGACGGATATCACCAAGTTCAAGAACCACCTTGTGTGATTCTGATACTTATGTGAGGATTAATTCGCTATGTCACCAGGCAACGAGGGCAGTTAGCGATTGAACGATATCGGCTTTCGTGCAAAGTATGCAGAGGAATTTTGTAAGCTACAAGAAGCACCGACACTGCGTACAACATAATCGACGGAGAAATCGTCATTGAGAGAGAAATTTGTAAATGCCTCGACGACAGCGCATCACGCCGCGATACTTCCAACGACACTTAAAATTTTATACATATTAATGGCCTTTTTTTTTTTTTTGATCGTTTCGAATATAAAATACGCCGAGTTAATGAAGCGCACGGATGAGAAATATGAGACGGCTGGTTTGCACAAGATGCGAGTTCCAAAAATCTCACGGATATCGAAACTATGCTAACCGGTCTTCCTCGATTCTTCCTCTATCTCTTCACTGCCGAAAAGATCTGTTTCTAATCTCCTCTCGTCTCGGCTAGGTAAAAAGAAGCCGAAAATCACGAGAAATACTGGCAGTCTAAGAATAGGCTATGTCCTTGTAATATCGATACCTCTTTCACTGAGAGAATAAGACCTTCCAGCGACAAGGAATCGTAAACAATCACGATCGCTCGTTGCTTTACGTCTTATTGCGAAATATCAATACAAACAGCACCCAGAATGTGGTGGAAAGTCGCGCGAGAAATCTACGCAACGTGTGACGCGTGCTTTCCACGAGAGAAGTACCGGATTGGAGGACTGAAACGAATATCGATATTGTTGCTGGTTAGCTGGAACAAGTTCCGACGTTTAGTCGCTGAGTATAGCTGCGCGTTTACGCTACCCCAACTGTAGAATGCTACCAATGCATATGATAATTTATGCACGCAGACAATAGTTTAACATTTGTATCATTAAGATTATTAAAATTTTCAACTGTACGTATATGTACGTGTGTTTGTACAAACATACATGTGTGTATATATACCAAAATCATAGTACGTGTTAAGGCTATTTTACGTTGGTCTCTCTATGAGAGAGAAGTTAACAAATTACTCTGCTATACGCGCTATTTGCGCACGCGCACGCGTCTCACTTTATCTCCAATATGCTACAACGAGTTACCGTAGCTTCGATATGCGAATGCAATCTTTTGAAAGTATCATACGTAGTTGCACGTAAATCTATCGCTTCCATATTGTTGTCTAGACTTATATTTTGCATTTGACAAGATCGTTGTTCTCTGTCTATTGATAAGATTAAGTTTGATTAAGTTTACGTAAAGTATTGCAATGCATATTTAGCGTAAATATCGGAAAAATTATTATTCACAAGTGATCATAGTAGTCACTTTCCTAAGATTTATGACTGGTACAAATATTACTGATAGTGTGTTTTATTTCATTTTTAATGACTCTTTATTCACGTTTTGACAAAATAGTGGCCTCCTTTATAATTTATGTACACTTACATAGATAAATATACATGCGCAGTTCTCTCATTGTAATTGACTGAATAGAAAAGCACCTGAGAAAATCTTGGTCTGTTGTGAACAACGTTGTAACATGAAAAATTTGCAGAATTTTCTGCGAGTTCTGCGAACAACGGGTATAACCGGAAAACTTCTAAACAGGTCTCATGCTAAAAAAAAGTCTCGCAACGCTATAAATTGCATCATAGGTCGAACCGAGGTCACATACCATCAAAAAGCCGGGAAGTAAAAAAGGGTTGTTTTGTGCGCTTTTGACGTCAAGGCCAAGACACCACCGTGGCAAATCTGACAATCCTCTCTTCCGCATACGCAATTCAAAGAAAACCTGCGACTTCCATCCTACAAAGGGTTAATCACCATCTATCGTTTGACATTCAAGATTACACGATGCTCTATTCTCACCCAGGTATACCGGCGACGTAAAAAAAGGTTGGTTTTTTTATGGCGAGGGTGCGAAGGGTGCGACGTGCACCTTAGCCGCTAGAATGACAAAATCTCCGCTTAGAACTGAACTAGTGTAGGCGACGGGACCTTGACGCGTTTTAAAGGGGTAATCAGCCCTCCTCTGGCCGAACCTTGACTGTAATGCCTCTCTAGCATGTCTCATCTTGTGCTGTGAGCGTGTATGGGTTGTGCGTGCGTCAATCGGTGTAGCAGTGTTTGCGTAGGTATGTGTGTCGTGTCGCTGCGCTTCTGTCATTCTACCGTTGAAGTTTGTCTACGGAGCATGGATCATCCGGTGCCTCGTGACAGTGTCGTGCTGCGCACATTGTAATCTGTTTGAGCAGTTTGCTGAGATTGTGCGGTGTACATGTATATACAAAATACATGTCGACTGTTGATCGGAAGTATGATGCTCAGTGCTTTGTGTTTTGTTAAGTGCAGTGCTCTGATTTTGTTGAGCGCATTGCTTGATAACCTGTCAAATCTGGCGCAGCAACGACGATATTGCTGCTGTTTTGCGATCAGCATATAAATATCAGGAGATAACACGTGGAAGGTAACTTGATTGTCGCACGTGATCGTTTTTGTATCTTACTCAACGACGTAACCTAAGACAAACCAAGTATCTCGTTACTAGAACGAGTTTGTTTCAGTTAAAATAAAATCAAAATACACATTTGATGGCGAATGATGTTCAATAAATATATAAGAAATGATAAAGGAGGCCACTATTTTGTCAAAACGTGAGTAAATACATGCGCTTGATTTGGTGTTGCTATTGACATGCTACATAACAAGTTTTTTGTAAAAAATACTTAGGCATCGATGTAAACTTCGGCAGTCTTCAACACATTGAAATTAGAAAAAAACTAGAGAGAGAATTTAAATTATGAAGACTTTATGCGACAAGCGTCGCGTAAAGTTTCTTATATCCGACGGCATCAATATATTGAACCTAAAGGTATGCGAATGTCTTAGTGACTAACTTTTACGATCTTAATTGTCGATGTCAATGATAACTAATTAAGGAACTCGACATTAGATTTTAATTAAGAGAAGGTACACCGTGTAAAGAATATCTATGACGATCACAAAACTCGTATAAGAACCGCATCGCATTCCACATTTATCTTGTCACAAACGAAAATTATGTGCAAGCACACTTACTTATAACGTTGTTTTCGATTAATCAACTCAGTTCTTCTAATCGGCTGTTCAGTTTAATAATATAAGGATAATATTCTGAAAAATTACTCATTGATACAAATAAACATACGCTTTATGATGCGCTTAATTTCTCTTGTGCTGATCGAATTTTGCTCTACTTATGCATGAAATAACAAATAAAATCTTAACGTAAAAAGAAAATAATCCGTTATATTGTCGATGGTTATCATGTCAACTTTCTATCATAATCCGGCTCAAAATTTGTTTTTTAATAGTAAACAAAGTGAAAATTGCGCTTTCAACAAAAGTTGTGCGTAACTTTTACCTTCAATTCGTGAAGAACCCAAATGCTTTATTTTCTGGGTAACTTCTATAGATGTTAAAAACTTTGGAGTAATATATATGTATTTTCTCAGCAATGTCTTAAGTTGCAAGTTATGGATTTTTGATAATATTCTTCAATTGCTCGTTAATGGATTCTGAATGTTCACGCGGTTTTCGGGGTTATTATTAACCGAATGGAGGTTTCGAATTAATGTCTTATTTATACGCTTGATTGCTGTTAGTCCGCTTGCCGATAATCTTTTTTTTCGAATACTGAATTAATCGTTTCAATTAATTATTTAAATAAAAGTTTCTTCTAGACTTTAGTAGACGAAAGTAGAGACATACGAAGACGTATATCAACAATAATACATCGAAAAGTAGAATATATGATTTCATTTTGTGTATAAGTGATACTTGCGTGTCACACAACGATTCCAAAAGCTATTCGGCACGGAAAACTACTAGCGACGTCTGATGAGATGCGACATTTATAGCTCACATACCGCTGTTGCGTCAAAAGAGATTTAATATGACTTAATAGTTGTTAAATATCGCCTCATATCTATAACTTTTATCATACACAAGAATGTTATTCAAATTCGAATTACTTCTATCGAACATGTACGAAACTACTGTAAAAGTCTTCTTCACGCTATATTTCTGGCAGATCCTTATGAGAAGTAAGGTAAAAGTACTAATTCTCGGACACGTAACTACTTCTGAACATTCTTATTGTTTTAGTTTTCAAGTATGAATATTTAAACTTTTAACACAGAGTGTATGCGCATACTCTATACTTATATATATATTTTATATTGAAAGTTTAAATATTTATATTTAAAAACTGAAACAATAAGAATCTCCAGCATTAGATACATGTCTGGGCATTGACACTTTTACCTTATTTTTCTTTCGACAAATTTGTTGGAATTGCTATCGATAAGTGATAATATCGTCAACTATTTCGAGTGAATTGTTGGCAAGTTGTGTGTGGTTCGCTATTCGCGCGGTTCAATTATGCAAACGGACGCTCGTGCATAGATATTACCAGCAGATACTTCATTGCATTAGCAAGAGTTTTGTGAACTGTCGGTTGCGTTGTACGCCATTCTACGTACGAGCTGACTCTAAGAACGTCTCGGCATCATTGGCATTCTCACACAGACGCACAAATACACCCGCGAGTCTTGCGTGCAGCCATCTTAGCGCACATTCACATGCGCGCAGCTTCACACATTCACCGTTCAGCATACGGTCCCCACAGTTTTGGTCTGTAGCTCCCCTCGCTACCGGTTAGGAAGGGAAGGCAGCCATTCGTGTAGCTTGAACCCAATCCAAAGGGCCCGATGCTACCGACGTCGATATTATGGCTCTTGGTTCATCGACGCACTTCTCAGCGCGATTTTTCAACACCAAAACTCTTCTACCAGAACGTTCAGATATCGTTGATATGTTGTATCAAACGTTTCCTCGATGACATTATAAGTCACGGCCGCCATCAGAGATTACGCTAGATCTTTTGCAGAAATGATCTAATCTCGAAAATCTTAACGACGAAATCGTTTCAATGAAGAACTTACGCGAGATACAAATCTCAATATCAATTGTGATCTTTATAAGATTCATGTCATGAACTTCCCAAAGGAGAATATTCAATGGGATACTTCGCATCACGCATCATAAGGTATTCTCGAGAGATCTGCTTGATCTTCTGAATTGGAATTAATACTTTTGTTTTATATTGATTTATTTGTAATAACAATATGCCGCTTGTCGTTTTCACGTTGAGTTTATGAAAGAAGCTGCATTCTCTTCAGAGATCTTCTCTTCAATAAACTTGTTCGCGCAAACATAGTACTTAATTGGCAAATTTTGTAGAAGAGATGTTAAAAGAGATCATAAGAAGTTATATACAAGTGCACGAATGTCGAGCATTCTGAGTCCTGCAGTCACATATCGGTTGAACGAAGGAAATTGTTGATACAGAGTTCAAATCCAAGACATACAGGCTGAAGCACTACGAATATCATGGAGGCAGATACTTTTTGGTCAGCGGCAGCAATTTCGCCAAAACCGTTTGGAGTCCTTTTCGGGTAAACGGTAAAGAGGGATCAAAATAGCCAGAGAAGGATAGAACGGGGGAAAGGGGGTGAGCGCAGAGGGTGGAGGGAAGAAGAGATTCGACAATCGTAACATCCGGGATCCGGCAAAATTAGGTGGGCGTGTTTCATCGTAGTTGGAAAAAAGATGCGGCGCGATTTACTCGATTCGTTACTTTGTTGAAAAATATTTTTTTTACATAAGTGTAACCGTTCTATATAAAATGATGTTTATGGGGGAACTTTCACGCACAGTGTTAAGTAATTTATTTATACGTATTAATTATTTTTGGCCCTAATTATATTTTGTGAAGTAAAATTATAGCAATAACATACATATAAGATTATTATCACCAACCATATTAACTGTACTAACTTATAATAGAAGAACTACACTAGGTTATAATATAAATATACTATAACAATAATAATATAAATATACTAACTTAACAATAATATAAACTTAATAATAATATAAATATACTAATTTAACAATAATAATATAAATATATTATAAATAGAAGAACCATATTTTGACTGATAACAGAACTTATAATAAAAGGTAGTTTTCTTACCATAATTTATAGCAATTATTTCTCTCTCTTTTTCTCTCTTTCTCTCTCTCTCTCTCTCTCTCTCTCTCTCTATGTAATTATAATTACAAATATAAAATATTTTTCCCTCAGTGTAAATATACATACAGTAAAGTATAAAATGTGGTTATTACATTTATCTTGATATATGAAAATATATAATTTTAATAGCTTCCGCCTGATACATTTTATACAATTTAAAAACCAGCATCTGCGATTACAATGACTTCAACGTCGGGCCACAATGTACAATGATTATGTGATGTGAAATGTTTATATCGTCGGCGGGTCTCCCTCGTGCTGTTCAGTTCTCTCGGTAAAGCACGGATAAATACAGTGGGAAACATATTATGATAAGAATCTTAAGAGACCGTATGTTTTATTAATGGCTCTCTCGCATGCGATCCGTGGCGAACATAGACGTGTATACCTTTTTTCTCCTCGTGCCTTCATGCAGTTTTAATTATTCCACGGAGTATGCGGATCGCGAGGTCGCGAGTACAAAAATGCAGAACTGAGATATTAAATAAGCGGGAAATTCAGTGAAATGCGTGCATTATTGTGGGAAAGATGAGCGTAGTACGGATGCATATCGACGCAATCGCCACATCTAATCATTTTCCGAGCGCTCATGTAACCATGACCATACGCGTGCCATCACGTATATCATTTGAGTTTCCATCTACTTAACAATAAGTATATGCCGCACTAAAGAAATAAAGAGAACGGCGCTCGTTATTGCTCCCGTTACGCTGACGTTCACATAACATTTGCTTAAACAGTGGATTGTTATGAAGTAATAACACTTCAAACATACAAAAGAGGGCTCGCTTTGACGTTTCAGGGACTATTTCGTTTTATACGCGGACTATTTCGTATATACGCGGACTTAGATTTTGTGCGATTGTATCGGACATGACTCGCTTTTAATCGCCTCATCATCGTTATTAGCGGAACCGCGTCACTTCTGCATTCCCCGCACGTTGCTTTATCACAAACGACACTAGCGCGAAATTATATCATAAAGATTATTGAAATGAGGAATTTGTTGCACGCCAAGCTGTGTGTCTACTGCTACCGAGGGCGATTCATCGAATTGACTCGCGCGATTGCAAGTGGAAAGGCCATAAAGCGTGTCCGACGTCAAAGTATTGGTTAACCGCATTCCCATTCCAGAAACGTGCGCGCCAGCCGAGCGTCGCGACGGCTGCAATCGTAAATAACATTTCAGCAATTAGCACATGCGACAGAGGGGCGTGTTCCGACCGTAAGGGGTGGCTGTGCTCCACGAATCATGCTTCGAATATAGGATTCACGTAATAAGGATTACGCCAGGGTATTACCGAGACCCCCAGCGGAATCTCACGAGCGTAACCTAGCCTGATCTACCCTCTCTGGCGATCTTGGTCGGACTTGACTCAATCATTTAGGAAGGTACGGGCGACAAGAAGCATAAAGGGATTAGCGTGCTCGGCTGAACTTTTCAAAAAAGTCATCTACACGAATGACATGTCTAAAGTTTTCGATAAATCTGCTCTCTTAAGATAAATCAGTAAATATATTTTTTTATTGAAAGGACTATTTTTTATTGAAAGGATATCTCATCGATGATTAGTGAATATTCATTGGGATTTTTCAGCTTAACTTTTCAAAAAAGTCATCTACACGAATGACATGTTTGAAGTTTTCGATAAATCTGCTCTCTTAAGATAAATCAGTAAATATATTTTTTATTGAAAGGATATCGATGATTAGTGAATATTTATTGGGATTTT